GCTTCGTCCACTCTGTCACCTCCCTCCGCCCCCCCCTGTCCATCTGCGGCAGCTGACATCTGTCTGGTCTCGTCCCTGTTGCGGAAAAAAGGATGCAGGCGGCGCCGGTGATACGGAATCGACACACCTGTTCCCTTCTTCCTCACCCTAAACAGCCTCGCAGTTGCCGTCCTGGTGTCGTTGACATCGCTCGTCTTGGCCCGTATAGGCCTCCCATGCTGCTCCTCGTAAGCTCTCATGGAATCATGACAAGTGCCATCGACGTTACCGATCGATCGCGCCCCCGCGGGCACATCTGCCGGTCCATATGCTGATGTCTGTCCGATATCGCCCGCCCTCCGGTCCATGCCCGCACCGTCGTAGAAAGACCTCGTAGGCAATGCGCTCGGCGCGGCCTGCCCGTGGGCGGCAGGATCAGCGGCAGAGGGGCGTGAGGGTGGTGGACACATAATGTCACGCATCCCCGTCAAATGCGGTCGAGGCTCATCTGTGTGCCCGTCTCCAACGTCATGTGTGCTGGGCCTGACAATGCTGGGGTGTGCGGTCGATGACCCTCTGCGCTCGATGCCCCCCCTGAAGGACCGTCCACCATCTGCGCTCCYTRGCTGCGCTRTATCCTCGCTCACGCCCTCGCCTCCGTCCGAGTGGATAACTCCGGGAGGCCTCGCCTCTAAAGTCTCCGCTGGCCCTCGATGTGGCTCTTGCTGCGGGCCCTCCTCTGGTGGATGGACTGATGACACGCCGTCCGATAACAGCTGCGAACCATGACCCCCCTGCGCCAAAAAATCTCCAGGCGCTGCCTCTAGTGAACCTTCCAGACTACGTTGAGCTGCGACGTGCGGTCCACCACGACGGTTCCGTGCTAACTCCTCCGCCAACCCCTGCTCCACCGCCCACGGTGCACCGACATGAAAAATGGCGGGAGTCCCGGACTCTGGAGGATGCAGTATCGTGTCGCCGCCGAACTCGTCGAACCCTCTGTCACGACGCGCGTCATCTCGTCTAGCAGGCTCCGGTGGTGCCACAACCGACAAAGTGGGAGATATCAGTAGCGATATATCGGGCAGAGATGCCAAGGCGGAATCCATGGTGAATAGCTCGTCGGTGGGCGGAAGACTGTCGAGCGGGCAGTCGAGGCCGACGTGGTGGTCCGTCGGAGGACGTTCGTCCTCCCCGTCCTTTCCACAAGTGGGAGTGGGTGCAACCTCTCCCTCCTCTAGACCGCCGTCACTCGTGTGAGGAGGAGGCTCACGTCGTGCCTCGCCGTCCTCCAAACCCGCTCTTGTGGAGTGGACTGGGGCGCCTGCTGGAGTGCACCGAGTCTGCGCCTGGCGGAGTGGACCGGGTCCTCCGAACTCCGTCTCCTCCTCTGTGCCAACAACCAGCGCTGGCGACCGGGGATGAGTGATCCTGAACCCTGTATCCTCCTCCGTCACTATCACATCAGTGTTTGAGGCTAGCTCCTCTGCATGAACCGGGTCGCGCTGCGTCTCGTTTAAAGGATCTCCCATCTCGTCCTCTGACACGGCAACCGAGTCCTGCCGCATGTCACGTGCCCCCGTGTCGATCGCAATGTGGACACGGCGTTTGCGTACACGAGACGCAATACTGTCATCCCGCCTACCCCCGTGTCTCAACCGCTTCAAAACGTAGCGACCACAGGGCATAAAATCGCCGTTCACACGCTCGTCAACCCTATCGCCATGACACCCGCTCCGTCCACCATCACCCCCCCCCTCACCGCCTCCACCATCTCCCCCCCCCCCCCCCCCCCCCCCCCCCCCCCCCCCCCCCCCCCCCCCCCCCCCCCCCCCCCCCCCCCCC